GCAGAAAGTGCTGAAATGAACTGCTTATTCCAACACTTTATGTATCATGAGCTGTTTTCCCGCAATTCTCTTTGGAAGTGTTGAAATAATAGATCTTATCAATACATACATTCTGCTTGTGTCAATCTAGAGTTCTGTTTGTATGTATAGAGCCATTTTTACTGGTGCAGGTCTGAATGTTGCCTGTCCTGGGTCTCAGGAACATGTTACTTGAAGACAAAATTGCAAACTTGGAGGAATACAATTTTTTTCCATCACCCAGATTCCATCTCCCAAAGCCCAAGATGTGCAATAATCAGTCCTATACTTTACATAAAAATCCAACCTAGAGAGGCTAGATATGGGAGCTTTCTTCCATTTGTAAGGGGGAGATTCCCAGCACTTGCGTCTAGCCCTAGAAAGCGCCCAAGATATCAGACATGAAAGACAAAGGAAGGTTCTGTTACATTAATTTTGAAGTTTTTATGGGCCCCACATCCTTGGACTCATGATATCTAAGACAGCAGACTTTGTGGAGTTTGTTTTATTTATTTGTATTATCATAGTGCTTAGGAACTCTAGTTATGGACCAAGACCCCAATGTGCTAGGTACTGTACAAACACAGAACAAAAAGACCTTTCCCTGCCCCAAGAGCTTACAAATCAGTCCCACTAAAATTTTAAAAAATCTTTAAAAATTCCAAAAATAGTGTTCCTGTAACATGTGTGGCATTTACAGAACACATGGTGGTATGGTATGGTTTAAAGGTTTTATCAGTATGATCATGGTGTGATCAGCAGAACTCATTGGTGGCTTTATACTCAACCCAAACTCATGTAGCTAAAATAGCTGATAAGCAGGGAGGGGCAGAGTCAGGAAGGACCTCAAGGAACTTGCACTTGATATGGTGGAGAGATTCAAAGAGAGGTGTGATGTGGTTAGAACAATGAACAGGAAAGGTGATCCCAGAAGCTGAAGTTAGTATGGACTGGGGCAGCAGGATGATGTCGGCTCCTGGGAGGCCAGAGAGCTGGAAGTTGCAACAGTCAAGGTAGGACATGCTGAGGGCATGCCCAGTAGTTTTAATAGTCTGGACAGAAAGGGCTGGAACTTAGAGATGTTCTGGAGAAAGCTGTGGCAGGAGTTGGACAGAGTCTGAATGTGAGGGGAAAGGGAATCGGAGGAGACAAAGGTAACCCTAGACAATGGGCTTGAGTGATGGAGAAAACTGGTGTTGACAACAGCGGCAGAAGAGGGGAGTGGGGAAGGAAAATAGAGAGCTCAGTTTTAGCTATGTTAAGTTTTTCTATAACTTTAATCAGCAATTTAGCATATGCCTCAGTAAGACAAATACCAGCTCTGTATCAACAGCCAGTGGATAATGCCATTTCTCCCATACACACACATTTTGGGGCATTTACCACATTTCTGCCTTACAGTTTACCACATCTCGCTCGCAAGTAATGACTGTACTTTTTTGGTGCATCAATTTTTTAATCCAACGATCTCAACGCATTTCACAAACATTAATGAATTTAGCCTCACATCAGAACCCTGTATTCTCCACATAGTATCGTTAGTCCCTAATTTACAGATAAGGAAACTGAGGCATACACAGCTTCACATCTAAGTGGACAGAGTTTAGAGAGACAGTTTACATTATCACTGACAGTGCTTTTCCTATTAGGTGGATATATAGCAGACTTTAGTTCCCAGTGCTGTGAATCTTTCATGAGCACTACCAAAAAAAGGTCTCTCTTTAGAAGGTCAGCTTTTTATAAGGCATTGAACAGACAGACTTATTTCCAATAATATCTTTGTTTGGTGGCCACTTCCTAGTATAGTAAAAACCTTGAAATGCCAATTAAAAACATACAGAATTACTGTCTTTGCCAGGCTGACGAACCAGTGAAGATCAATCTGAAATATTTGTTGCTAATTCCCCCATTTTGTGGCATACATTTTAGCCATGATGCTTGGGTTTATGTCCACGGCAAAGATCTTAATAGGAAAACATTAAAGTTGAGACACACAGAAAAATCATTTGTGTGTTGCAGATGCTATGCTAGAAATAGGGTGTGGACACAAATCTGTTTACTAGAGCTTCACTATTTTAACAATTTTAGCCTGAAAAGTGCTTAGCTTGAAGGAAGAGATAGTAGTGACTCTTTGGGGTAAGAGTTTGATATAGTGCCTTTGTCATAGTCAGTTTGTAGTTTTACTGGTTTGGACAGTGTCCCTTAAAACATTTTCTGGTTGTTAATTTAGTATGAATTTAGGATGGAAACTGGTTTGCAGTCACTTGCAATGAGCTCCCACATCTATTAGCCCAAATGTACGAAGAGCCCTTAATCTGTATTGTATTTCTCTGCTTGCAACATTAAACATACAGATCACTTGCATGTGCAATTATTGATCATCACTTCTACACCCAAATGATAGGATTTCCACTCTTGTGTGCTCTACTTGTGTTTGATTTGCACACACACTGGTTTGTGTTGTAAATAATACTATCATTTGTGAGCACTAGTGATAGTGTTCAAATACAAAATGTGCAAGTGAATATGCACACATAATCGAATGTGCACTAATGGAGATAATGTTAGGAAAATGTTGGCCCTGGCCTCACAAATGATGCCATTTTTTAACAAGGTATCTACCATCACTTGCAGTAGGACAGCTGGAAATGTTTTGCATTAAATCTTTATTTTTAAATACATTTCATAGCTTAGGTACAGTGAGAAGGGATTCTAACTGCCTGAATTTTGCTTTACTGATCAAAATTCATACAGCTTTATTTTAAGAACCTAGAGAATGGCATATCCTGTGCAGCCTGCACTGCAGTAGCTGCAGTCTTGCCTGCTAATTTTTAGTGACCCTGGAACAATGCACCCTTGAGAGTTGTAGATTGACAACTACTGGGTAGCGCTGACCTGATAGGCATCCACAGCTAATATAGAAGATTCTTTGTCAAATGTTTACAAATTGAGACAATGGTTAACTTGCTTTCAGCACCAAATGAGTTTTTTTAATGTTTCAGAGCATTAAATATAAAGGATCTAGCATTTAAAGCCAAAAGGTATAAGGTGCTAACATCTGCCAGGATGTTCAAACTATTCTTTTTCCTTTCAGCAGCTGGAAGGTTTCTGTGTCTTTGTACCAAATTATCATCTCTGGATATATTGATAAGGGCTAGCCACTAAATTAACCTCAGGTCCATATCAGAGCTTCATGCAGAAAACACTTCAGAACTCCTCTCTTTTGTTGCAGCAAAACAATTAAGATAGTGCACCACTGCTTGGTAAAATGATCTGATAATCTCTCTGCCGCTCTGTCTCGCTTACATTAAGAGTGCTTATTAAAGTAATGACTGTTATTCTGCTTTCAGTTAGAGATGGGCCCCAAACCAAAATCCCACATCCAAACACGCCAGAATATTGGCAGTTTCAAAATGTGGATCTTCATAATCGGGCTACATTTTAGAATGTTCACAACCTAGAGCCAGATTTTGCAGCCCATCTTTATATTTTCTGAAGCATGCTTGCTTATCTACCAGAAAAAGAAAACTGCATCTTTTTTTGTATTGCATTGAGAACAGTTTTCAGCTTGTAAAATTTATGCAGTTCATTATGTAACCCCTCCCCAGTATGAACTCAGTAAATTAAAAAGAACCCTGCTTGGGGCTGGTTGAAAATTTCCATCAAAACCATCTTTCAGTGGAAAAGTAGCTTTTTGACAAAGTTAATATTTCCATGAAGACTGTCTGCTTCCTGTGGAAAATTTGAACTTTTCATAAAAGAAACCCCAACATCCAAAAAATGAAAGATTTTGATTTGGAGATGCTGCCATAGTGTCTCATGGGAGCTGTAGTTTGGGCCCTTCATGTCCCCATTCTCCTCTATGAGCCAGGTTTCCCAGACAGACCACGTCTCCCATGATGCACCATGGCCAGACATTCCCAAGTAGCTTTAATAATAATATGAAGTCAATGGGACAACTCATGTGTAAGTACTACTCACTGTGAGTAACCATTGCAGATTCAGGCTCTAAGTAATTCCAGTGTACCACAAAGATGTAAGCCTAGGGTTTTTATTTAATAGAATGTTACACTAGGAACAGCTTCCCCATCAACAACATTTGATCACAAATACACCAGAAATGTTTTATTTATGATGAAAATGAATGGGTCAGCTAACAACTGCAGTTTAGAAATATTAAGAAACTTGCTCTTTTTAAAGGGTAATTTGAATCCTGTCTTTGTGAGTTTAATTAACTAAGCAGCAGCTGGGAAAGCTAAGGTTAATTATACGGATGTTAATAAGTCCATGAAATTGCATTTTGATTAAGTTTCAGTTTGATTAACTGAAGCACTTTTTGACTTATTTTCAAAGATTCATATGTTATGTGCACTGAACCATGCTAAAATACAATGACCTATAGTCCAATTAGTATGATCTATCTGTGTGTGTTTATACATACATGATATGCTGATAAAACCTTTATACCACCCCAGTCTAAGTTTGGAATGGTCCCATTATGCATGAATGGAGAAGCCACAAGTAAGTTATGCATGTTATTCTAAGCAAGTGCTAATGAAACCTTTAAATTTCACGATCATGTATTCTGTATGTGGCATGTACGTTACAGAAAACCTGTTTTAAAAATGTTTTAGTGAGTTTTAAAAATAAGTATTGAAGATTATTTCTTGTTTCCTGTGGTCTGTAAAGCCAACTGGGTGGAGCTCAGAGGGAGTGAAAATTAAACTAATAAATGTAAAACACCTCTAAAAATGGCATAAATTAGCTTTTGTTTGCATAAAAGTGTTATGAATTTGAAGTCCACTTGGACTTTCAAGGCTAAAAACAGGTACTTTGTCTCACTGAGAAGCTGGGTGTACCACCTTTCCAGTGGTACAAAACTCCATTGCAGGGTCACAAGGTATCAGTCCTGAAACCTGGCCCTGGTCTAGGCTTTAATATTGCTCACACAAAGGGGGAAGTGGGTCCTATGTTCCACTGACCTTGGCACTGTAGCAGATCAGATTGGGCCACGGAGGATGAATGAGATACGAAGAACCTAAGTACTTTCCAAGTGCGGGGAGCTGCATGTGCTGGTTTATTCTATTTGAGAAAAATCGTAAAGATATGAAATAAGAGTTTCAATAGCGAGACCCTGAGATTCCTGCCTTGTCACAATCCCACTATTAGAAGAAAATATATCAGAAACATACACAGTGGTGATCTCATAAGTAGAAAATGAACAGTTAGTGATTACAACCAGGGACATTTCCCCTCTTTCCAGTCACAAAACCCTGGGATTTCTAGATTGTCTAATTAGCATATTTTGATCCTTCCCCCATTGAGTAGTGAAGCCTTTCCACTAACCCTCTGTCTGCTACCCTGCCAACTCTGTCTCAGTTTTAAGTTCTACTTAATAAATAAAAAGGATTTTATTTAGAATAATCCTGATGCCCAACCAAAAGCTGTACTCTGTTCTCTGGAAGAGGTGGTTCCTAATTCACATGACTCCTGATGCAGGCACCATAGGAGAATCCTTACTTCTGTCCTGGAGATAACAGCTGTGTATTTACAGAGTGCCCTCCTTGTAAAAGCGAGGTAGTGTCATGGAGTAGCATGCCTGTTTTAACACTACTACAAGAGCTACTGTATTGTGTGAACATTGATTCCATATGTGCAGAAGAAAGGGTGCATTTTTGGCCTTAATACTGCGGGAACCCCAATGACTTTTAAATCAGCTAATTGTGACAACCTAGCAGCCCATTACAATTGACCAAATTTGCCATGCTGATCACTTAGATGATTTTCGATCCCAGCATTTATGTTCCCTGTTGAAGATAGTCGGATGCATTTACTGAAACATTATACAGTAGAATGACATGTCTTGATAAAGATTTATTTGAATGGCTTTTTTTGTGTGTGTAAGTACAACCTGAAGCAGAGCACAGGAGAGGTGCAGAAACATAATATTGTTGGTGTACTGTTATGTATCAACTTCTGCTTCAGGATTAGGATAAATAGGGTGAAAGTGCTTCTCTTCTCAAGGAGAGAGAAAATAACAGGGAAAACCATGGTATGAATTCAAGGTACGTATCTATTTTAACAGAAAGTGAAGCCGGCAGCAGACAGGTAAAGGTTCATTGCACTACCTCAAATCTACTGAGACTGCTCTAAATAAAACTAATAGGCTTTGCTTCACAAACAAGTTGATTCAGCTACCTAAGTCCCTACAGAGAGCTTTGCTGCCTTTGTTTTATCATCAGGGGACAATGGAAACATCTCTCCAGTTTGATTCCATTATTAAAATAATACATGTATACCTGGTACATGTACCTTTGCTTGACTTAGTGATATCCTACAATCTGCGTCAGAGAGGGCACATATCACAGACTTAATATAAAACAAAATATCCAAGACCTATTAACTTCTGTAACTTCAGGTTATCTAACTGTCCAAAGGTCTGGAAAATGTTATTTTACTCATTATAACATACTTCATATACAAGGTCACTCTTATGATATTGTCCCTACCTATGCACCGTATAAGTCTACAGTGTTCTACCATATACCCTAAAACCACACAATGAAACTAGTTCTGGTCATATTTATACAGGAATGACTCCCACTGAAGTCAGTATACAGAGGGGAGAGGGATATTAATATAGTAAAATTTAATACTATACTTGTCTAAATATTTGTCTAAAAGACAAGCTTTCGAGCTATGCAGAACACTTCTTCAGGTCACTTTCTATGTAGCTTGATAGCTTGTCTCTTTCACCAACAAAATTTAGTCCAATAAAAGACATATCTCACCCATCTTGTCTCTCTCATATCCTGAGACCAACATGGCTACAACACCACTAAACATTTAATACTAACATTTAAGTGAATAGGTGTTGCCCCTGTATAGTTTAGGACAGAAATTGGTCCAATGAATCTAACTGGAAACTGTTTGAAAAAAATGTTGATATTTACTTTCTTGCATACTTGTGAAAGTGAAGATACAGTTGGTCTGGGTAACATAAATGGGTCTTCTGGGATAGTGGTGATGGTTAAGGTGCAAATTTCCCCTCAGAAAATTAGGGATAAAATCCTGGCCCCATTGAAGTCAATGGGAGTTTTGCCCTTGACTTCAGTGGGCTAAGATTTCACATAAAGACACTGAAATTATGGACAAATTCTCCAGTCCATTAAAGCTACTTTGTACTATGCGTGGAAGCTATGCGTGGAAGAATACAGCTGGTGGAGGTGTTTCTATCACTTTCTAAATCAGCCATCCCATCTCCTTCAGTATAAGTAAAATGAGAAGAGGTTGTGGCTGGGGCAGGGAGAGGAGAGGTTGTGTCCCTGCCCATGCTGCCCTATTACTGTGTGGCTCTGAATTAGGGAGGCATTTAGGGCCTATATATTATCATTTAAAAATACTTTCATAATAACACTCAATGGATGATTAAAAGAAATTGCTCTTTTTAATGTTTTATTGTAGGATAAGTTATAATGCACAGAAAAGATGCATCAAATAAATTTTATAATAAAATAGTAGTAGACAAAATTAAGACACAATTAAATTTCTAAAAAAATTTAAAAAGCGGTTTCTACTATTCTCTTGTAAATTCTTAATAAATGATTTTATTGTATTATGTTAGGAGCACAGAGGTTTATGGGCATGGGGCATCTTAAATGCACATATTTATTATTACAGAGCCAATCCTGCAAATGCTTTGACATATGGGTAGCTCTATATAGGTGAGTAGCCCCTAATTCATTATATAATAAATTAGGCTTCATTACTATTTTTTAAATGGCTGGAAGCTGAAGCTAAACAAATTCAGTCTAGGAATATTTCTAACAGTGCTAGGAATTAACCACTGGAACAATTTAGCAAGGGATACGGGAGATTCTGCAGCCTTTGAAATAGTTAAATCAAGGCTTGATGCCTTTTTAAATGACATGCTCTGGCTCAGCCAAGTTTTGGCCTTGACGCCAGAATTAGTGGGTGAAATTCTGTGGCCTTTGTTAAACTGGAGATCAGACTAGATGATCATAAATGGTCCCTTCTAGCCTTAAAATCAATGAATGTGTGACTCTGAGAAGTTATTGTTATAATCAATTAACATGTTACCCAAATATCAAAAGTAATCATGAATTTTATCATGAATCACATGCTTCAAGTTTAAATAAACTTGTAGGATTCATATTTTTCAGGCCCCAATCCTGCACTCATTCATATTAACAGGAATTTTGCCATTGCCCAAATGGGAGCAGGATTGGATTCCTATCTGTTTTGTCTGTAGTCAATCATATACACTTGAAGAGTTGAACTAGTTAAAATTTCTGGATGGTTCATTTCATTTTCCATGGCTCCTCAGGTCTGATGTTCCATGGCAACTGTATTCTTCCCCCATTTACTTTAAGGCTATTGTTAAATTTGATTAGAATGTAATTTTGGGGTCTTTTTATACTTATACTTAGACGTTCATCAAACAAAATGCCTTTCTCAAGGCAATGCAATAACTTTACATAAAAGGCAAAATATGGAAATAACTTTAATAAGTGATTGAAATTGTTAAATGAATTACAAATGCTAGCTAAATGAGACAACGGCTAAAAAAATGCATTGTGAAAAGCTCTACCCGTTTAATAATTAGAGACCAATAGTTCTTTCACTGTACTATGTGTCAAACCACTCAGAGAGAAATGCCCTCAGTCAGGTGAATTGTGTGAAAAGAAAATTGCATTTCCCACAGGTTAAAATACTTAAGTAATCTCTATAACAAGCAAAAGTTTTAAGTGAAAGAGATGTGAGTCCTCTACTGAGAGATGCCAACAGGGACTAAATAGGAAGCTGTGATTGAGGCTAGTTTCTGATACCCTCATGCTGAATAGTACCTTAGACCATGTGTAGTCCCATTAAATTCATTTTATTGCTATTTTTAGAGTAGTGATATTTTTAGAGTAAGGAAATATTTCATATTAGCCAGACTATAGCAATCTGATCCTAAATGTATGGAGTTTACGAGCCTATGCTAAAATATTGCCCAATGGTTGCTCTTTGGTATGTTCAGAATGCATCAGAAATATATTTCTTTGCACTAATATATTCATGGGTGTGATATTTTTATACCGAACATCCTGCTCCTGATTCTTTTTTCCCGTTCCCCTCTAGCAATACCCTTTGTGATAGTACTGTCTATATGTAACATTTCTTTTCATAGGGCCAAATGCTGATTCAGGCAAAAAGCCTGAGTAGGGGCTTTCCAAAAAGGTTCAGATCCGCCCCAGGGCACCAGTAGCAGCCATGGAACTTACACTCCCCTTCCATGGTAAGGTCTGACAGTGGGTTTGCATATTCAAACTGGTAGTCATGGTACTTGTACTCCCCTGCTGTGCCCCCAGAGTCTGGTTGCTCTGGAGAGATCTGCTGTTCTGTTATGAACAATAAGAGCCTGATACCCCTGTTTAGCCTCTCAGTACCTGGGAATGCCCCTCTTCCCCCAAAGCAGTGGACCCATGCTGATCCCACTGCTGTGACTCCCTTCCACAGGATGCAGGATTTGGCAGTTAAGAATCAGGGTTGTTTCTGGTTTGCTTTCACTCTTAGTCTGTCACAAAATACAAGCTGCTTCTAGCATCCTTTAGTTTCCGAACTTACCTTGCAGTATTTTGGAAGCATGGTCGTGAACTAGGCTGTAATGGCCCTTTTCCTCTGGAGCCTGGGATCAAATCCTAAATGAGGACACCAGTGCAAATGAGGGTTGTGGTCTCATCCTAGCCTCTTCTAATGGACGTTTGTCCACACCACACAAGCCCGGTTTAGTTCAGCGTGCCCTGCCGTCTGTGCTTGAGAGAGAGGCTCAGGGCTTCAATAATGGTGCTGCTAACGGTCAGGACTGCGCTGCATGGGCAGTCCTGTGTCCATGTCAGGAAGCTTTTACTGTGGCTAGGTTCCTGTCTGTGCTGCTAATTCAATCACTTTCATGAGCAATACATTCACATAAAAAATTAACAAATATCTAGCCAGCAGCAGTTCCCTCTGTTCCTTTTTCCAAAACTATGTAGCTTTCTCTTAAAATGATTGGGTTTAATGGCTC